TTATACTTCAAAAAAGATCTTGATGGCGACTAAAATTTCAGACAGTGACAGGGGACAACTATGGACCCACCTTTTTCCCATGTTGATGTCGAAATTGAGAAGCAGTACATTGAGGAACGCACCTTTACTACCCACTGACAAACGATGCAGTTTTCATTATGCTATGTTGGCAATACATTTATCGCCCTAACTAGAAAAGGGACCGACATCTCACAAAGTTCCCACTATCAGAATTCTACAGTGTGATAGTAAGCAACACACCAGATAGTTCATCAGAAGGAAACAAAAACCGTCTCACTCTAAGAAAAATTACAAAAACGACCTCCTTCGACGAAATACCCCTCCCCTTATCTGCTTGTGTAACGACGTACGGTAAAGTAATTCCTATGACTTCAATACACAAACCGGGCAATAAAGTAGGTCTGCAACGCTCGTGAATCCTACAACGAAACAATATCCGTCACCTACAGACCGATGATAGAAGACGTAATTTACTGTCTAACTTGAAGACAAAGACGAATTTAAACGTGGACAAGGAGCAGGTTGAAAGATCAAATGCTCTGTCTGTGGAGCCATCTTGATCATAGAGACGTAACAACCTTAACACAAGACGGTATGACAACAAGCCGGTAGCGCACTGCATCGGTATCGCAGAGGTCATCCCGTACAGTTATTTTTTCGGGCCTTATTTTGACTACTTCTAAGAAAGCATTCATTACTGCGAAGATCGCTTTCATATTTCACAACATTTTGGCGCAAATCGTACCACTTCTGAGTCGTTAGCATCCTTATAAGTTGGCCATACTTTCTCATAGGATTTAGTGTACGCTAGTTTAAAGTCTATCACCCATTCACTGCCATTGATGTCTCCTTGGGTTGCAACAGCGCACACTTCAATAATTTTCCCGAGATCGACTTGAAGCCACTGATCTTTATCATTTATTTCGGCGCACCATCCATTGCCTCTGGTACCGTTCAGACGTCCATATGATGGTGGTCCATTGTAACCGTGGCTTTGGTAATGACTTGATGCCCTCAGGAAGCTGTCAAGGATGATACTTGAATTGGAAACTCCAACAGCATTACTGAGGCAGCTATCAAAGGTCTCTGCATTCCAAAAATTTGCATATTTCAGTAAATATTTGCCTTCCTTATCACTGTTTATTCTTAACATGTCTAAGCACAGAATTCACTAGCTTATAAAAACTAAGAAATTACAATACAAAACTGTGAGAAATCTATTTTAGAACCATTAATTCATTTCTCGCTTGAAGACGTTATTTTTATGCTTGCCAGTGGGTTAATTTCACATCTTGATGTTTTCTCGGAAAAATAACCTATTTTGGCGCTCATGTTTTCTTTGCAATTGATCCGCTTAAACCTATTGGGAAAAAAATCGCGACAAAACAAAAACAACTTTATGTTGTTAACACCAATTTAGGTTTAGGCTGAACATCTTAAAAAGAATTATTCGGCCGAAGGATATTCCGTTTTGTGAGAATTTCTAATGATACCCTCAACCGCTCGATAGGGTGGAAAAGAGAAGAAATGGCTGAATAAGAGAAAAACAGCAGTAAAGGATAGAGAAATTAAATTTGTTTGTTTGAAAAATATTCGATATCGCTTCGCGCTTACATTGGTCGATAAACATGCCTATACCGTCATACGCTCTGTGTTTCTCGGCAAAAATCATAACCATTTCAAAGTTATTGCAAGATTCATAATGTGAATTTAGAACCATTTTAAAGTTATTACAAGATTCATAATGTGAATTTAGAACCATTTTAAAGTTATTGCAAGATTCATAATGTGAATTTAGAACAATTTAAAGGAAAAGGGGAAGATGTCGAGTCTAACGCTCTATTCATTTCTAACTCCAGTGCCTGAGACTCGACGATGTATGGATTAATTGGCAGACGAAATACTTGCGTTTAAGTAAAAAAGAGTGGCACGGCTAAATAAAATTGTATTTGTTGTTCGTTATCAAGATGAAACGGCAAACGCTTACGATTCTACAGTTTCATTATATAAAATATCTTCTGAAAAGCTGTTTGATACCAGACAAACTATGGCCTTATGAGCTTGCGTAACAAGCTCTGCGCGAGATTTATACATATTTTAGCCAGGTATCTTAACCTCGATAACACCCTGTAAACTTCTTTCTTCATTGAGACATCAAAGGTTCCTTGGGCACAAAATCCCACGAGAAAAAACTTACCTCCACTCGCTGAGCCTCTGCTAATTACCAGGATCAAGACTTGAACCTATAGGGCGGAAGGATAGATATTTTTTAAAGGTTAAAAAATAGTTTTATCTCTGAAGTACAAAGAAGACATATGTAAAGGCCGGCAGGCTCACTTGTAGCAAAATTAAAGGCCTTTGAAGTTTCATTTTGTCGCTATTTCATCCGAACCGAGCAAAGGTTTTTTTGTTATGTTGATGTTGTTTACATAACTATCCTAATCTTAATTTCTTATCGACAGGTTTCGTTCCCCGCTGAGATTGCATTTTAGAAAAAAATCAATTAACCAGTGTGAAAATCAATTTCGCAATGGCCACGAAAAAGCATGTTTTAAAAATATTAGTAACGTAATTGAAGTAGGGAAAATGCGTAAATTTTATATCACGCCTAAGTTCGAATAATGAATCCTTCCTGAAGAATAAAAAGAGTATTATGTATTTTTCGGGAAAATTAGAGAAATGTGTGTTAATATTGCAAAATTTTAGCTGTAAATAGGAGCTTCTCGGTTAAACAATTGTTGTTGCTGCTAAGCTCAAGCACTATAAATATATACACCTTCTTAGATACGCAGTTAATTTGGATCTACCGACAATAGCGATAACAGGGGTTCAATAGCAGCTTGTATTGGTAGTTTTCAATTAACACAGTCTCCCGAAAACAGTTATTTTCTTAAAGGAATTATTTAAATATAGCTTTTAATTCTTGAAATTAAATGCTGTCTCGGTGTACTCTTGCTTATGTTCTTTTATTTTTAACCTTTTTTTTCCTCGTACATGGTTATTATAGTTTTCGTCGTTACACATCTTCACATTTCGATTGTTGTGCACAAATGAATATTTTGGCGGACCTCTGCCTCAATAACCTCTAAAGAAGGGACTATATCACACTGTGTTTTTGTGCACTGTGGCTCCAGTTTGACTGTTGTTCCCCACAGTAAATTTACGAGAAGCAGAGTACGAATCGGCAAAGGTCGACGGACACAGAGTTACAAGAGTGAGGAAGCGGGGACACGAGACCAATCAAAAGACTTTGTTTATTTGATGACCGAGTCTCACCCTTACTTTCTTTGCAATTTAACACACAGAAACGTTGATAATTTCTGTTTATTTTTTATGGATGTTGTGAAATGTTTCCATGCAAAAATTTATTTCCTGGATTTATTATGAATTTTATTGTGTGAGTTGTAATTTCGTTACCCTTAAAGCAAAGAGTCAACGTTATAATTAGAAGTAACATGTAATTGGGAGCGGCATAGGAAAATCAAATTAGTTCAGCCAGCAGTGATGTATGAAATTAGGTATTTGCAGGGCGTTTAAACGCGTAGGAACTTAGCAGCATGATTTTCAAGTAAAGCCACGTTTAATAGGAAATTAGTGCCTACGGATCGTTGTAGAACGTGAGTGAATCTTGAATCCCACACGGAACTACGCATCTGGGTGTAGATTTCCTCAGCTATTAAAAGTGACATTTTTGTAACCCTAAGATTAGATTGTAATAGAGTACATAGATCGCAGAACGGAACGTGTAATGCTGAATAGTCGCCAATAAAGCCTGAATCAAGAGAAAGTATACAGTCCAAGATTACCGAACCAGTGTGTGCGTAATTCTAAGCAACGCAAGTGGGAAATTCTGCGAAAATGGAGAGCACTTATCGAAAAACTCCACTATTAATATGAAATAAGTTAAGTATTCCATCAAGCCGATTTAAAGTCATCATAACTACTTGTTCGTAAAAACCTTGCTCTTGAAGTGCAGCACGGTGACTATATTATTATTGCATCATCTCAGTGTACAAATCATCCCTTTAAAAGTAGAGAAATTTAAAAAAAATTCATCGGAGGGAAATAAAGATAAAGCTAAAGGCGTTTACTAAGCCTGATTATTCGAGGAACGTTTTGAGCTGATCTTATTAAGAATCGCGCGATTTTTCAAAAAAAATTACAATTCAAATTGTTCAATTTAGAGAGAAGTTAAGAAAAGTTTTGAAAAAATGTTTGATAATTTTTCTGTCAAGAAATCACCTTAAAATACGGCGAATGTTTGAATTTGTTTGGTGGTGGGATATGTTTGACATTGGTACCTGTATAGTTTTGAGTTAAGCCCCGATAAACGCTCATGATAGTTGATGATAGTCGACCATTGTTTAAAGTTTCATCCATTGTCATAGATTATCACGTTTTCGTTCAAACGGTGCATGATAATTGACGATAATATAGAAATCATGATATAAGATTGAGTAACTGTTAACAAATATGGCGCGCGCTGAGGTCAGCAATTTCGGCGGCATTTGAAATTTTAGTAAAAAAAATTTAGATCAGAAGATAACTAAGCCTTCCAGGAGATAACGAGAATGAACCATGAGACATTCTGTAAAATTTTAACGGCTAGTTAAGTCATTTTACACTTTTCCATTTCAGTTTGAGCCCATTTTTGGCAAAACTGCTGACCGAAAAACGATCATTGAATATCATCCGCTCGATCAAACAGCAAAAAGCTATCATCAACTATCATGTCAAATTGGAACAGGTCCGAACTACATGTATCCTTATGATACAATAGCCAGAAGCAACAGATATTAAATGAAGATTATTATCTCTCGTCGTGTTTGTTAACTTAGCTTCTCTTTTGGATCTCTCCCTCATCTTTTCTAGCTGATATCGCTTAAAGTGCTATTTGGGATCATCACCCAAAGTATCTATTTCGATTGCGCCTAGATTGATAGAAAATTCTTCCTCTTTTTCTTCTTCTTTTTCACATGTGGCTTTATTCTTGCGGGTCAGGAGAAAGGAAATTACGATCACTGCTATCATAACCTTCGTAGGCTGTACAAGGAAAATATCTTGTCCGCCGGAAATTATGAAGGAAGCAAGTCATTGCACATTAAACTATTGAACAGCGTAAAGTTATTGGATCCTCTCCAAGTGCAAATTCATAAGTCAGTGGTAAGTTCGTATCCTGCCAATTAAAGCGTTTAACAGCAAATTCAGTCTCTATTAAAATGCCTTTCGAGACTGAAGGCGCGCAGTTACTCACTGTGCGGCTCCTCGGCGCCCCTTCTGCAGAGTTAAATGATTGGATGATAATATATATTGACGATTAAAATAAAAGTTATTTTGGATAATTATCAAACCTTGGCCTCGTTATGTTCACGCTCTTTATAAAAGAGGAACTTTATTCCGCCCTTGCTGTAAGTCAGATTGTAGTTGGTTACCCTGAACCTCCAACGACGGCTGTTTCGTCCTTGTGATGCAACGTTTGTCATTTCTATGTATCAATTATTTAGATCGATCTGAAGCCACTGGTTTTCATCATTTGTGCGAGCCACCCGACCCCCTGCGTTGTGCTGTGTTTCTTTTACGTGAAGTCTACCATAATGAGCTCTTTCTAAGTTACTCCATTGGGAAGAGGCACTCATTTGACTGTTGGAGATGACGCCACTTTCCATTCCTTGAGCCTCTGCACTGTTTAAATAGTATAAATGCTTTGTATTAACCACAACGTGCACGTTTGTTTTTCAATTGCCAATTCATACCAATCTGGCACATGCAGTAATATGGGCTTGGGTGATCACGTCTTTTTTCGTTCACTGCATTACACCAAATTGTTACCAAATGATTAAAAAATGCTTTATTATTATTATGTTACAAATTGCTGTGTTTTATAAGAAATTTCAGACGAGAGGAAGCTGTAACCATACACGTACAGAACTACGATATATTTTTACATATGTTTCATATCGGCAATCAGCTGTTGACAGGTCACTTGCCTTTGGCAACACTTTGTCACTTTTGACGAAAGAATAGCAAAGCCTTCTGGTCCACGTTTCCTGTCAATTAAGGGCAATCTTGTTTATATGATAATGGTAATAATAATCATAATAATGTTCGTAATAATAATTATAATTAAAACGTGGTTGCTCGTAGATATGGAAT